AAAAAAAAAGAAAGAAAGAAAAAGAAAGAAAGAAAGAGTCCAGTGCCTTAACTACCATACTGCCTCATACTACCTTCCGACTCCAGTAGGACATGTCCTTTTGTGAAGGTATATTTAAATTTGTTCTCAGTCTTCCAGCCTCCTTTGAACCATGTTTTACTTTTTCATCTTAAGTTTTCGGCTTCTATGGATATCTTGGAAATTAAAAAGGAATATCTTTTTATTGTATAATTGTATTGTAGACATTTAAAAAATCTGTAAAGCCTTGCTATATTGGTTGTTTTATGTTTATTTCCCCCTATGCATTTAGATAAGATTGTGCTTAAATGTGGTTTTTGGAATTTCAAATAGAAATTCAGTGACCCCAGTATGGTCTGCCCATGAATATACATCTGCAGCTGGCCAGAAAATCTTTTGAGTATAAAAAGAGAGAAGATCAGTGTACCTATGTATTTGGCTCTCTTCATCCATGTATTCTATAATCCTGGATTCAACCAACTATGGATTGAAAAAAAATTTTTTTAATTAAAAATACAAGAATTAAAAAAATACAACATACCATTTAAACATACTATTTATTTTATATTAGGTATTTTAAGTAATCTAAAGATGATTTTAAGCATGTAGGAAGATGTGTATATGCAAATGCTGCACCGTTTTATATAAGGGCCTCGAGAATCCTTGGATTTTGGTGTCTGTGGAGGATCCTAGAACCAATCCCCCTTAGATGGTAAGGGATGTTTGTAACATGTGTGCACCCTCCCTCCTCTTTTACAAAAAGAAAGGGAAAGATAATGTCCACAGAATGACTCTCTTTCATATTGGCTTTTTGAATGTGCAGAGATAATTAATTGCTATGAAAATGCCTTCAGTTCTACAAAACATTTTATTACTGGCATGTGAAGCTCATGACTTATACAGCTGATTAATCTTGAGCTAGACACAAATTCTGACCTTGTGGTCGACTAATCAGTGCCTGAGGGGAAAAGAGCCATAAGTCTCTTTAAGTATACATTGATGCTGCATTTACTTGCAGGTCAGTAATGGTGCTTGCTGTCTTGTTTATAGGTCACTGGATTTCATGAATTTTGTCTTCAGCCTTTTCCCTGTAAGTACATGCTGAATTTTGAGCAATATTGTTTTGTAGGCTAGAGAAGTTACAGAAAACTAAGGTGCCATATTCATCATCCAAATAATGAAAATGCAATGAATATGTGGTTTGAGAATAAGAACATGGCATGTCATGAACTCTTTTATTTTTTAATTTCTTATTTATATTTAATTGTTGTACAACTCTGTGGGGCACAACATGGACTTTTCAAAGCATGCATGCTGTGTGTGACAATCAAATCAAGATAATACCATATTCATTGTTTTCAACAAAGAACATCAATCACATTTGGAATAGATATATACATACATATATATTTATTTGGCAGGTTTTTTTTTTTTCCTTTTCTGCTGATCGTTATGGTATGCCACTCCACAACTCATTTGCCACATCTACCTTAAGACTTTACTGTGCCTACTAAAAGCTTTTTCCTTTGATCTCTTTCTATCCCCTCACCCTCCCATCCCCCATGCCCTCTGTGATATCCACAGTTGTCCACTCTGCTTCTGTGTCTTCAAATCTTTCAATTCGTACTACAGAGTGCACACATTTATTTGGTCTGTACTGAATGAGGATATACAGTGTTTTTCTTTTGTAGTCTGGCTTATTTCATATGGCATTACACCTTCTAGATTTGACCACTTTCTATTTAATGACAGGATCTCATTGTTATTTATGGTTGAATACTAGTCCATTGTGTACATGAGCCTTTTTTTTTGGTTGAGAGAGATTTTTGTCATAGGGTACATGAACTCACCAGAGAGACAGAGAGACAGATAAATCATCACCTTGGGGCGGATGGCCATGCCGCAATCACTTTTCCTCCATTCTCCTCCAGGATTTTGGGCATGCACGCATATGCTCTATGCATAAGTTTTAAGCTGCTGGGTCTGGGGCTCCAACTACAGTGACTACATGAGAGTCAAGTGATGTAACCATTATGCCATCTGCCTGTTCCTGTGTTGTATTTTCTTAAGCCAGTCATCAATTACTGGACACTTAGGTTGATTCCATATCTTAGCTATTATAAATAATACTGCCAAAAACGTGGATGTAAGTGTCCTTCCAACTGAGTGATTTCTTGTTCTTTGGGTGAATACCCAGGATTGGGATTACTAGGCCATATAGTAGTTCTTGTTGTAAATTTTTGAGGAACCTCTGTATTGTTTTCTATAATGGCTGTACTAATTTACACTCTCACCAATGGTGCAGGAGGGTTCCCATTTCACCACAGCCTTACCAGCACTGATTGTTTTCTCCTTTTTTTAAAAAATCATAGTCATTGTGACTGGGGTTAGGTGATTCCTCATTGTGGTTTTGATTTATATTCCTTTATGACAAGAGACATTGAACATTTTTTTTCATATGCTTTTTGGTCATTCTTATGTCTTTCTTTGAGTGTTGTCTGTTCAACTCAACTTCCTATTTTAAAAATCAGATTATTGCTTTTTCTGTGGGTGAGTTGCTTGAGTTTTTCTATATGTTCTGGTTGTCAATCCCTTATCTGAAGTGTAGTTTGCAAATATTTTTCTCCCATTCTGTAGGTTTTTTCTTCACTCTCTTGTTTCCTTTGTTGTGCAGAAGATTTTTGTTTGATGTAATCCCACTTGTCTATTTTTGGAATTGTTGCCTGTGTATTAGAGTTCTTATAGAAATTACGAACCTCGGTCGACTATGTGGGAGTCCAGCGACATAGCCATTACGCTAACTGCTGGTTCCCTCTACAAGTAGTTTTATATTTGAAAGTTTTACAATTAAATCTTTGATCCACTTTGAGTTGATTTTTGTTAGTGGTGGGAGATAAGTTTCATTTTTTCTTCAGGCAGATGTCCAGTTTACCCACCACTGTTTGCTGAAAGTACTTTTGTTTCACCACTAAATTGTCTTGTGTCCTTTGTCAAAAATTAATTGGCTATATATTTTGGGATCGATTTCTGGATTTTATATTCCATTCCAATGGTCTGTTGTTGTACCACAATGATGCTGTCTTTATTATCACAGCTTTGTAATAGATTTTGAAGTTGAGTAGTGAAATATTTCCAACTTTATTCTTTTTTTTTTGGAGAGGTTTTTGCTATAGAAGGGCGCGTGTGCTCGCCAGACAGACAGAGGGAGACAGAGAGACAGAAAGTGAGAAATCACCCCCGGGGGTTTGGTCACGCCGCAATCCCTTCTCCTCCATTCTCCTCTTGGGATCTTGGGCACTCATGCACAAGCGCCCAGCATGAGTTTAAGCCACCGGGTCTGGGACTCGGACCGCAGTCGACTACGTGGGAGTCCAGCGACATAGCCATTATGCTAACTGCTGGTCCCTCCAACTTTATTCTTTATGCACAGTGTTATCTTGGTGATATGAGGTCGTTTATAATTCCAGACAAAATTTATGTATTTTTTTCCTATTTCTACATAAAATATCATTGGTAATTTTATAGAAATTGCATTGAATTTGTACATTTATTTGCATAGCATTGACATTTTAATTATATTGATCCTCCCAATCTAAGAATACAGAATGTCTTTCTACTTTTTTTGGTGTCATTTTTAACGTCTTTCTTCAATTTTTTTTATAGTTTTCTTTATAGAAATCTTTTACCTCTTTGGTTAGATATATTCCTAAGTATTTTATTTGTGTATATGTGGCTATTGTAAGTGGAATTGCTTTCTTCAGTTCTGCCTCAGTCCATTAATTGTTGGATGATAAAAAATGCTATTAATTTTTATATATTGATTTTTTTTATCCTGTAATTTTACTGATTTTATTTATCACTCCTAGCATTTTTTTTTCATGAATTCTTTTGGATTTGCTATATATACAAACCTTTTCTTCTGTTAATGTGATGTTACATTTATTGTTTTGTATATATTGAACCATCCTTGCATCTCTGGGATAAAACCTATGCGGTCATGGTATATAATCTTTTTAATGTGTTATTGGATTCAATTTGCTAATATCTTGTTGAGGATTTTTGCATCTGTATTCATCAAGGTCTGTAGTTTTCTTTTTCTGTTTTGTTCTTGTTT